TAAAAAAACAAAAAATGTAAAAAAAAAAAAAAAAAAAAAAAAAAAGCAAATACATATTTGTTGAATACCAACTGGCATAATATATGATATTTGATGATGATGATGATGATGATGATAATGATAATAATAATAACAATAATATTTTTTATTATAATTATCATATATTTAATTTAGTTCATTTTTATTTGTACATATTTTTTAATATATATAATTGCTAAATAATAATAATACATCATTTTATTTATGATAATTATTATATCTAATATATATAAATCACCTGCTATATATATATATATATATATATATACACACACACACACACACACACACACACATATAAGTGTTTCTTTGCTGGAACGTTCTGCTCATACTAAATCAATGTGAGCAACTACAGCAAACTGGCAGAAACACACGTTCATTCCTGTCCTCTCACTCTCCATTACTCCGGATGTGACTCATCACCACAGAAAGAAAGCAGCAGTGGCAAAGCCTTACTCCATCCCTGCTTCATCAGCTTCATCAGCCGCGCATGGAAATACAGCTCGACTTCTGAACGAGAACTCATATGGATGGCGCTTGTGGTGCGGTTGCCATGGCAACAATCAAAGAGCGTTTTACAATGTCGGCCGAGGGAAAGCAGCACATGAACTTCTCCCAGCGTTTCCAGAGGATCCAGTTCAGGGAAAACAATAGCGATAAACCCTGATGACCGCGTATGAGCAAACACAGATGCATTCGGTCTGACGTAACTAACTATTTAAGGATCAACACACATTCCACGCGGTTAACTGAAAGTTAGGACGCGATCAGATGTCATCCGATCACAAAGACTGAGATATCCAATGACAAAAACACAATACGTGGCATGGGGCTTTTGTCTGAAAAGCGAGAAAAGAAGAAAAGTACATTGTTTTAGGTTTAGGTCACAAATGTCTTAAAGTGCGCCGAATACACTGTTTCTGATGACAAAGAAGCGCCGCACGATTAATAGAAACGAAACCTGAAATGATAAGGGGATGAAATTTAATTAAATAAATGTAATTTATTAACTATCTTTTCAAAGCTGTAATAAGAAGTGCTTATGAACTGGCTGTCATCAACAAAACAGAAGCTTTAAGGCTCCCTGTGGTGTTCTGCCAAATTAAAAGTTTGATGGTTTAATATTTGAGAATGAAGAAAATAAAGACATTAAGAGTCAAAAATATTAGTACTGTAATTTTACAGTTGAACTGGAAAATACTACTACTACTATTATTATTCATAATACAACAGTAATATTTCTTATTGTTTAATATTTTTAATAAGTAATACAAATCATAATGAAAACAACAACATTATTATTACTATTATTATTATAGGTATATTATTTAATATTATTTCATATACATCAATGGCTAAAAAAAATAAAATAATTATTATTATTATTATTTTAGCCACTAAGATATATAGTTTCTTATATAGAGATAATAGTTTCTTACTTTGTTTGATATTTTTATTTAGTAATAACAATCATAATGAAAACAACAACAACATTATTGTTACGGTTATTACAGTTGTATTATTTAATATTATTTTCATTATCTTTCATTTTATTATAATTTAACATTATGTAACATTATTTTACTATATTTAACATGTTTCATTTTATTATCTTATATTATAATTGTTATTATTACTACTATGAATAATAACAATACACATGAACTAAACACGTCACTTCCTGTTTGTTGCTGCCGTGTGTTTTGAGTTTGAGCTCTGTCAAGTTAATTCTTTGTCGTCTAATTTTTTATCTTAAAATCAATTTTATACACCATCATTTTCGTTTCTTGTTCAGTTGCTTTGACACAATCTGTATTGTTAAAAGCGCTATATAAATAAAGGTGACTTGACTTGACTACTACTACTATTATTATTTCAGTCATTTATATAAATTCTTAATACAACAGTAATTTCTTATTTTGTTAGTATTTTAGTAATATTAATAAAACTAATATTAATAATAATTATACATAGTAATAGTAATATTAATAATTAATAAACAATTATCATTACTATTCTTAATAATAATAAATTATATAACAACAATTATAATCATAGTAATTTTATAAAAAATAAAAAATATTTTTATTCAGTATTTTGAATAATCCTAATGAAATAATAATAACAACAATCCTAATAATAATAATATATTATATTTAATATAATAATAATATAATAATGTATTTTAATACAAAAGTCATAGATCTTATGTTTTTTAACATCATTATTTACTCAAAATAATAATCATCATAAAAATATAATAATAATAATGATAATAGTATGTAATTTTATAGAGAACTACTACTTTTAAAGTCATATTGATACTAAAATACCCCTAAATGAATTAATTAAATTGCAATTTTTTTATCAGAAAAAAAAAAAAAAATGTTATCCCCCCAAGTTGTAATGAGAAAGATGGTGAATAAATGTCAGAAAGCAAACAGACACAAACACGTTGCGAGTCTCACCTTACACTTCATCATGTCCTGGACGCGCTCGGACATGGACTGACCCGCCTTGGGCCGGACGAGGATGTAGAGGGCTTTGACGTCCGGACAGGAGCGCAGCAGTTTCTCCACCAGCACCTTCCCCATGAAGCCCGTGGCTCCGGTGATCAGCACGTTCTTCCCCGCGTACCACTGCGAGATCGAGGCCATGATGACGCCGCTCCTGCTGAACACTGACAGACAGAGAGAGAGGATGAGCAGCCCATTCACCTGATTCACCAATCAAAACACACTCGGCTTCCTCTCAAAGGATGCTTTGTCAGCTGGGAAAATACAGTCGACCAGCTGTAGTGTTTCCTCATGACACATTCAGACACTAATAAAGACTTACTAGAACGAGATCTGACCCTCTTCTAATATTGTGAAATATTATTACGATGTAAAATAACATGTTTCTATTTTAATATACTTTAAAATCTAATTTATTTCTGTGATCAAAGCTGTA